GCTCCAGCCGCCGAAGGGCGGGGTCCACGCCATGGCGCCCCCCGCGCCCAGCCTCGGGGGACAGCTCGGGCCGTCGACCGTCGGGAGGCGGAGGGCGGGGGGGGGGGCACGCCGGCCTGGGAGGGAGGCGGCCGGGGGACCTCCTCCTCCTCCTCCTCCTCCTCCTCCAGCGCCGCCGTTCTTGCTCCTCCGCCGCGCGCGCGCGTCCCGAGGTGACACACTAACATGTACGGCATTCACTCTCACTAGTTTGTGGCTGCTGGCTAGCAGCGATGGTTTATCTTCTTGCAATTCTCTCTTTCAATTGCCTCTATGGATCGAACGCGCGATTGGAGGACATAGCAGCGGAGGCCAGCAACTTTGGCATGATAGGACTGCAAGGGACATGTAGCAAAGCGTTCATGGGTGAGTCTTATCGCATAACCAGGATATTGGATCGAGTAGCAGTGGTTGCGGGCTGGAAGCAGAGTCGATTTAGCAACAAAAGCGCTGGGTGTACCTTCATGTTGCCTCCACGTTGGCCGCAGAAATGTATACGGAGAATTGACACGCCACCTGCTCAACTCCAAGGGCGCGGCCTGGGGGTATACTTCAGATTCAGAGGCATGGCTTTCTACGCGATGACACTGTATTATCCACCGAAGCCGTCGGACAGGAGATCTATGCCCAACTACTTATCATGCTGTGAAAAACTGACGAGATGGGCATCGAATGCAGTTGGTAAAGCTCCACACTCTGCCATCCCCTTCATCATGACGGACGTGAATGATGGTATGGGACTCTCAAAGCAGACTGGACAGTGGGAGAACGTTGGCGAGCAGGCCATTGGTCTTGGCGTCACACACGAGCGTCATGTATGTGGAGCTGGGCATAGACTACGAGAGCTCATGGAAGAACACGGAATGTTTTCAACTACGTCGTCTCAGAGAGTTGCAGCGACTTTCTACGACGCGCATGGCAACACCAGCATGATAGATCACGTTATTGTTCCTCTCTCGGTTGCAGCCAAAGTGCGAACTCAGGGACCGTTGAAGCGCATGGGCACCAAACTACAGCATATACCCGTAGCTGGACATCGGGATCACCTACCTGTACATGCCCGTATCTCCCTCAACATTGATATGGACGACGAGGTGACTTCGCCATGGCGTGCCCCTGACGGTGCTGAGTATGATGAGGTGAAATGGGACAAAGATAAATTGATGGCAGCACTTCGTGGGTCTCGAGAGCGATATGATTTTGTGGTTGCTGTTGAGTCGAAGCTAGCGGAGCTGAATCTTGACAATCATGCTGGAGACAATCCTGAAGAGCTTCTCAAGACCTTGGACACCGTGATGCGAGAGGCTGGCAAGGATATCTTCGAACGTGTCGACAAGCCCCAGGCTGATGATGACAAGCAGGAGCGTCTTCAGCTACTGGCCCAACGGCGTGAACTACGTTTGCAACTTCATGATTGTAACCCTGAGGAGCTCGAGGCATGCAACGTCGCGCTCAGGGCTGCCACACAGAAGTGCCACAGGCAGCGCAAGATGAGCTACGCACGCAGACAGGAGGCGCTGGTCGAGGAGATCTACGAGGCATGGAGGCGGCGCAACCTGGCCGAGGTTCACCGTCTGAGCTTGCGTCTCGCGGGCGGCCGCTTCGGCAGCGGCAAGCGCGACTTCTCGCGCCTGCAGGGCGCACTGCCGACCGAGGACGAATGGCTGGAGGCCTGGTCCAAGCCAGGAGGGGAGGGGGGGATGTTGGCGTCTAGGCTGGAGTGGGGTGACTTGGTGAGGGGAAGGGAACACTTTCGACGGCCGGCTGCCCCGCCGATGTTTCGGCAGGAACGCATCGACCAATCATACAAGGATGCCATGGGAGACCTAGCATCGTTTCAAGCTTTTTTTAAAACAGCTTCTAAAAGAAAGGGGGTCCCGCGGTGGTCCTTACCTGTGGAGTTGTGGGGGCTGGGGGTCGGTGAGCCTCCTGGGGAGGATCATCGTCGCTGCGCTGGACTTGGCTCGAAACTCCCTGCGGTGTGGGGTGAACAAGTTAGAAGCTGGCTTGTTCGAGTCTTCTTCCTAATTCGGCAGCCTGGTCTTCTCCCAAGTTTGTGGTCCTGCAGTCAGGGATTTGCTCTGCAGAAGAGCGCGTTGCCAGGCCCTGCTGGGCGTCGGGTGGTGCACGGCTTAGACCCGCTCGGCAAGGCCTTTTTAAAGCGTGTGATGAAACGAGGACCGCCGTATCAGCATTCAGAGATGGACCACGGCTTTCTGCGCCGTAGAAGAAGGGAAGATGCGATCGCCGCCAACCTTTGCACATCTTGGCGACTGAATAAAGCAGGACTGTACTGGATCGATTCACTCAAGGATTTAAGCAATGCCTTTGCGTCTCCCGCGTGGTCAGCAGTTGATGAGGCTGCTCAGGAGATGGCCACGGGACGGGAGACGAGCTTCTGCCAGCAGCGATATAGGCTAGCCTGCACCAGCATCCCAGCGGAAGGAGGCGATCTTCTGCTGAAAACTGGGTGCGGCATGCTCCAGGGGGATCCTTTCGCCGTGTCGTCGTTTGTTCACGTGTTTCGTCCTCCCGTTGACCGTTGGATCGTGAAGTGTCGCGAACAGGATCCCCAGGAGAAAGACTTAGAAGCTAAATGTGAAGTTTTAAACCCGCCTGAAGTATACTTGGGCCTCACCAAGTTTGCCGACGATCTTTTAAAAAAGCTGGTCCTCGGTCCGCGTTTCTCACTGGATCGGGCCAGATACATTGTGCAGAAGAATGATGCCTTGCTTGACGCTGAGCTGGCGAAGATCGGCCTCAAAGAAACCCAAAGAAACAAGAGGCCTTTTTTTCGGTCCCGCCCTCAGCCAAGCGTAGAGTAGCTAGCATGTTGCGAGGCATGGAATGTAGCTGTGGGGAGGCCGTCAGATACTTAGGCCCCCGACTGACCCCCACTCAATCTTTCCAAATCGAGCTTGGGAAACGGATCCAGGCCGCGAAGACGGCCTATTTTAGAATGGGGCGTTTCTGGCAGGCGCCAAACATACCATATAGATGGAAACGCTGTGTGTTGCTATGCCATGTGGTTAATTCCGCCCTCTCGGCGGTCGAATGTTTTATTCCAAGCACGGGTCAGCTCCGCAAGTTGGAGCTAGCGGTGGCCGGCCTGTGCCGCAGAGCGATGAGAGGAAAAGCGAGCTGGGAAGATGCGCACCACGTCCGCTCGCTGTCCTCCCAGCAGGTGCTTGAGTATTGGAAAATCATCCCGCTCTGTGTCGAGCTTAGAGTGCGACGGCTGAAGTGGTTTCAAGGTATTTGCTCCTCCCCAGAATCCCACCGTCAGTTGATTGCTGCGTGGTTCGGGGTCTTCCTTGGAGAGGATGTGTTCGGCGAGTTTGCCTCAATCCGTCCCGATGCTAATCCGTGGGCTTTGAGAGTCCAGACAGACATCGAGCAGCTTGTGCTGGTGTCTGAAGAAGCTGCTGACATCTGGTCCGATTGTCGAGGTCGGGTGAAAAGGTTGTTCGAGCCTGAATTCGCTGCGCGATTTCGTCGAGTCGATATAAATATCCTCAGGGGTGAAGCCCTCAGCGTGAATATCTCCCCATGCTCCCTTGGCGCCCCGCCTCTTCTTGCTTTTGGGTCACCGCGAGAAGAGCCCCCCGAGGTTGCGGAAGCGGGAGCCCTTCTCACCGAACGCCTTCACACGTGCCCCTGGGTGGATGACTCGGGCCCCTGTGGAGCCACTTTCAATAGTAGATCTGGTGTAGCGAATCACGTCCGCATTGTACATAATAGTGTTAAAATCTCGCATGCTCTCACGCTCACAAACCAATGTATACTATGTGAGGAAGTCTTTGGTGAACGGCTGACGGCGTGTAAACATCTAGAGGGATCCCTGCTTCACGGACGATGTCTTCGAAACAAAGCGACCACGTTATCCGAGATCGAAGTTCCCGCGGAGATGGTATGTAGAGTTTGTGGCTCAGTGCATCACTGTATTCAGGAATACAACCTTCACGCACGTTCGCACTTGCAGCATGCCCGTGCTCATAGATGTGGACGAGGAGATGTTCGGCGAGGATGCGGCTCCACCGTGGGCGGGAGTCCAGCTGGCGCCGAAGAGAAAGGCCGACGGCGAGCCCGCAGGCGCGTCCCAGTCCCAGAAAGAGCTGAAGGGCAAGGGCAAGGGCGCGGAGCAGGACAACCTCGTGTCCAAGGTCGCCATGCTTTCGCTCGCCACTGCACGCGAGCAGGCTCTGCTCTCGTCCGTGGTGCAGTCGACCTACCTCATCTCCGCGGACTCGTACCTGGGCAAGGCCGGGCTCGGAGCAAACAAGTTCTACACGGAAATGGTCAAGGCTCTTCACGACCGAAAGGCGGCGGGCGAGGACGTGGACCTGTCGTCGCCTGGACCGCCGTTCATCACAGTGTTCTTCATGACGACGAGGGCGCTCATGAAAGTGGCGCCGCCAGAGATCAAGCAGCAAGCCGAGACCTTCTTCAACGACCACCTGAAGGACAAGTCGCCGCAGTACGTGAATTCGCTGATCCGCCACTTCACGATCAGGGCGCCGCGGGGCCCAGGCTCGAAGAAGATGGAAGGCAAGGTCAGGCTGCAGTTCGCGCTGGGTCCGAACCCGTCCAGCTCCGCCGTGAGCGTGCTGCTGGACGCGGTGCTGGCGGACCTGCAGGCGACGCAGCTCGTCGGGTCAGCTCCGAGGGGCCCGCTCGAGAGGCAGATCACCAACATGCTGCAGCGTCGTGGCCAGTGAGGGCGCCGCCAGCGTTTCGAGAAAGTGTGAGGTATCGAGAGCTACTCGAGAGAGGCGTTGTGGCGCCCGTCGCGCCTGCCAGCCAGAACTTTTTAGTAGCACTCTCAAAAGAGAAGGGGAGGGGGAGGGGTCGTCGTCGTCGGGAGCGGGGGGACGGGGGGAAGGGCAAGTAATCCTGAGAGTGCTGCTAGTGCCAGCGGGGGCGCTGCGGGGGCCTCCCCGCCGAAGCGTTCCCCGCGGCCTAGCGGTTATGTGGCCGCCGCAGGGCCACGACTG